TAAGGAAACTCAAATTAGCGATAAAGCTCAGAATAAATTTAACGGTCCGTATGAAATTCTTGAAGTATTTGAAACTTCAGCCACTGTCAAAAATTTAGCTACCGAACAAGTTTCAAAATTTAATTTTGACAAGTTTAAACCTTATTACGATTAAATTAAATTTCTTTCAAGATCTTGGGACTGATCTCTACGGTCGCACCCCAAATCCTCATTACTCCAGTAAATAATACAGTAGGCATCTTATACCATGAAGAAAGTAGTCTAAAAGTATCCAACAACAAATGGAAGCTGCTAGTTTATAAAAAAAAACTAAAACCTCTGCGAGAAACCATACGACATAATAACAAAATACTTTCCTCTCTCACAAAAAATGTTAGACGATTCTTTTCCTCGTACGACAGCCTTAAAAACAAGTATCCAAACTCATTTTAGTCTTCTAACTATAATTGCTGACTCAGTCGAAGAGAAATTTTCAGAAATTACTATCAACACTGAAAATTTTAATTTTAGAACTAAACGCGGTTTAATTAACGGTGTAAGAACTATTTTTAAATTAATTACCGGAAACCTAGACTCTACAGACGGCGAATACTTTAATGAATGTATAAATAAAGTAACAAAATCTTTAATTCTACAATTTAAACTCTCCGAATCGACGAAGAAACTTTTAATCAAGATCTAACTCAAATTTAAAAATCTCTCTATGATATTTCGGACACCGTAGCATTTTACGAATGTCAAATTAAAACACTTAATCTTTGCGAAAGCTTTACGGAAGGTTATGTATATCTAGAGTCTTACCTCAGCGATATATTAAACGCAATCACGTTCACACGAATCAAAGTTTTACATTGCTCTATTATTTACCCACGAGATTTAGTCATTTCTCTTCAGGAAATTTCAAAATCCTTGACAAAAAAAAATAATTTATCACTACCACCCTATACTTCGAGCATTGCAAGGTACGTAGATATTATGGAGCTAGAAGCATTTCAAACTGAAAATAAAATTGTTTTTGTATCAAGAATTCCCTTAATAGAACCTAAAATATACACATTGCATCGTGTTTTACCTATTCCAATTTTGGACAATCGAACACGTTTATTTCATATAATTGCAACAATAATAAAATATTTTGCGCGTGATGACGATTCTTTACTCTATGTAATACCTGAAGATCTAAAAAGCTGCAAACAAATTCGAGTGCATTTATTGGAAGCTCCAGAGTACGAGCTAAACACTGTGTCGAAGAATATAAGAACGTGACCTACAAGAGCCACGCCGTTAAGATTCCATATGATTGCTGTTCTCAAATTCCAGTTTCAACCCCCAGAGTTGAAACCCCTGAAACTAATACTTTGCTGTTTCATTTGCAAATGCCGGAGAAAGAAACCGACAATACTCAGCATCGCCGATGGTAACGATCCCCAACAACCTCCGAAGCCAAGTCGAAGACCCCTGCTCCCGATGCAACTCAAATCACTAACTCCGAAAAGACGGACTAGCATCCACCCAGAAGTAACTGACCGAGAAGCTACGCTTTAATTAGTCTACGAAAAGCTGCAGCTAGGCTCCACCTTTTCACTTAATGGGGGAGCTGTTATATCCGGAAATCCTATTGTCCATATGGGTTAAATGCCACCGACCTGCAAGAGTGCAACGATTGCGAAAACGTCGTGTCAACGATATGTCGCAACATCCGCAGCCGTCGACCCCGTCAACGTCAGCATAAATTTATTATAAATACTAATTTCTATTGTAAAACGTTGTCTGATAACATTCTCTCATCGCGAGGTTATTATGTCCATTTTTAGTTGTATTTTAACGGTCTGATAACATTCTCTCATCACGAGGTTATTATGTCCATTTTTAGTTTGATTTTAACGGTCTAATAACATTCTCTCGTCACGAGGTTATTACGTCCAATTTCATTTTGATTTTTATTTTAATTTAAAGTTAATAAATATATTTTTTTTAAAAAGTTATTTTTGAAAAGTGAAATATAAAATATATATATATATATATATATATATATATATATATATATATATACTTTTCAAAAATATATAAAAATATCCACGTTTTTCAAGAAACAGAAATAAATGGCAATTTTCTAAACTTAAATGCAGAATTTAATAGTCTGGCAATTAATAATAACAATAAATCAAAAAGTTACGTATAAGTTATCTTTTTATAAAAGCAAAAATACCTGATGGAGATTTTTTATAACAATAAGGTAATGTTAAAAATGACGAACCATTTACTCTTCAAAATTGTAACATTTTTGGACTAATGGCATATTTTCAAGCGGTTTTGGAATAAATTCCTCAAGTATTTTCTGATACATACGTGCTGTGCTTCAAAAAACCTATAAGCTACATGTCATTTGTCATATGTCAGTTCTTTTGACGTGTCACGATAAAACACGAATAAAACATTCCTCGTTCATTTTTTAGCATCGAATCTGCAAATACCAGTTGTTAAATAATGTCCAGCGCTCCGATGACACTTACGATCATTATTATGATTATTTATTATTCATTATAAGACCTTTAAGGGTACAAAAAGCTACAGTAAAAAAATATATATATTTTGACAATATCTCTGAACTGAAATAACAACTTAGTTTTTTGTTGTTAGATGGCACCACATATGACGTTGTTCCTGAATTCAATTTTTCATACAAAAGATACTTCTAGTATTTATCAATAAAGGCAACGGTTTTGGATAAAAACGGAGTTGAAGTTAAACCTGCGTTGGAACTTTATAAGCTGTATCATTTCGTTGTACTTTAATTAAGTAGTCCTTTGCTTGCTACCTCTGACTTGGTAAATTACTTACGTAAAGTATTTGACACAGTTAAAAACTATCTGGATTTTTCTTGAAAAAAAATTATTGCAAAACAAAAATTAGTAAAACTTAATACTAGTCAACGTAGTAAACTGTCTCGAGGACAGAGCTATCGAAGCAACCAACCAACCAAAATGTTTTGAAAAATAAACGAAAAAATTGTTGTAGTGGATTGGATTATTTTCTTTCAGTTTTCGCTATCACTTCGGGTGATAATACATAATGTGGTTACTGCAACATAACACATGACATTCAAGAAGTATATTTTCGAAATCTGCGAAATGATCAAACCTCGAAAATTCCAATGCAGGTTGTTGAAACTGAAACACAGTTTTTATCCAAAAAAAACCGCTTTTAGTTACAATAGCAAAAATATCTGGGTTCACTGAGCAGAAATTCAATAACTATATTTTAAAACTACAGCAAATAGGAATGTTTCGAATTTAATCGGTAAGCGGAGGTTAACCTTAACTTTACAAAAATAGCATTTTCTTTCGCTCCGCATAATGGCGTTCGCCAGTTTTCGTCGTTTTTCTCCGATTTTTTTACGTTCGCGGACCAATCCGCCGCGCGGCCAACTTTCATTTATTTTTTTCCTCGGATATGT